CGACAGCTACAGCACCTCCCTTGTGAGTTTCTCTGATCGCTATGTTGGTATTATTGCCTTGCTGACTTGTTAAGTCAAGTTGCTTGTTGATTATCTCAGTCCAGGCCAGGTGACAAAAGCACTCAGTATAAAAGTTAAGTTCTTTGTTTCGAACCTCTGGGAAAGTCTATGTGGAGTCCTTCTTTTTGTGGTGCTGTGATGTAGGTGGAGGTGGGGCAGTATAAAATTCCTCCTCATGCTGTTGGCATATTTCCTCCTCTTGTGGTGGAGAGTTGTGGCACAGCTTGAATGTTGTTATCTTGGTTGTTGTCATAGTTGTGGAAAAAATATTTGCATCTTAGTCTGTGGAAAAAGGCTTCTAGGTCTCCAGAGAGCCGTATCATCTGTTTGGGTCTGGTGGGAAAGAAAGACAGGTTCTGTGAATGGACTGATTTTCTGTTTGGCTTCCTTTCTGGCTGGATAAATTTATCATGTTCTTTTGTAAGTCCACAGTGTTCTTGTTGTGGGCCAAGTGGCTCTGTAGTAGATTAGATAATTTATTGAAAACTGTTTCTCCATTTCTATTTAAATTCTCCTTCTCTGCTTCACAGAGCTTCCTTCAGTCCTCTTATATGTCTTACCAAACTTGGAATCTAAAGTGAATGACGAAGAGAAATTATTGATAATCCTGTATTAATTATGTATTGCTAAGTATCCTGTTTTTAACCTGTATTAGTTTGTGTCTAAATCTATCTGCAGAGATGTACTCTGGGTTTTTTTTTAACCCCAAGGAAGTCGTGTGGTCATTAGAATAGAATAGAATTGTGCCATCAAGTAAATTCTGACTTATGGTGGCCTTTTCCAGGTTTCGCCAGGTAGACAATATTCAGAAGTGGTTTATTGTTCCCTTCTTCTGGGGATGCCCTGGGACTGTGCAGCTTGCCTGAGGCCACCCAGGCTGGCTCTTCTGGGATGCAGAGTGAGGAATTACACTTGCAACTTAAACCACTGAGTGATCCAGCTAGCTTTGTGATCCTTTCCTCACAAGTGTAGAAAAACATGACACCTGTTATTCTCAAACTGTAACATCATGTCTTTCCTGAAAAATCACTAGCTAACAGTACTGATTCCTGCATGAAGGGGTCTTTGTAATTTGGGCCAAGGCAATGAGCTTTGAAACTTGGTATGTTAAGGTGAACAAAATAAGAGTTGTTTATGACATAACATTCTGGGAGGCTTACCAGATATCCCCAAAATGTATCAATGTCAGGAACATCCTGACAGCACCACCCCGCATGATGAATAATGTGTCCTTCATTGCTGGGTTTTGCTTTGTTTTTTGAGTTCTATAGGTCAGTTTATCAGTCTCATGGTCTGGGAAATATTTAGTATGCTACCTGATATGTCCTGGGATCTGCATCCAGTAAATCTTTTCCTTTCTCTCTATTATGTTTTCTGTTCCTTTACGAAAATCTCTTCAAATCAAGACAAACCCCCCACGATAATTATCAGCCCTCTCAGCTGAGGCCTTTTTATTTTATTTCCTTATATGTTCATTTAATCTATAGCTTACATTTTATCCAAAAAGACAGTCTGGTGTGGTGGATACAGCAAAGACGAGAATTTAGGAGACCTGGATGCAAATCCCCACTCTGCCATGGGAACTCACTAGGGGTGGTAATGGTAGAACTACCAGTTAAATATCTTATATACTTTGAAAATCCTAGTCATATCTCTATAAGTCAAATGCAAATTGACAGTGCATAACATTTCCTCCAAAGAGCTTGCTGTGCCAAACATTACGGTACTTTCTTTTCCCCCTGCTTGAACTTCACAACCACATGCAATAGGTCGGAGTCCAGAAACAGACGTTACAGATACCCATCACCAGAGCAAAAAGCACTGCATAATTTCAGAGAGGAGACTGAGGCAGTCTTTTTCTGTTTGCAGAATAAGACTTCAGAAGACTGGCTTGGCGTAGTGGTTAAACTGCAGTGCTGCAGTCAAGCCTCTGCTCAAGATGTGAGTTCAGTCCCAACGGAGTCAGGTACCTGGCTCAAGGGTGACTTGGACTCCATCCTTCCCAAATCTGTAAAATGAGTATTCAGCAAGTGCTCCACGCATTATTATGTTGTAAATCTCCATGCACCATAGGGCAGTATATACAATAAATAATTTCTCTCCAGAGGTCTGATCTGGCCACGGTGATACATGCCCTAGTTCCATCTTGGCTGGATTACTGTAACATGCTCTGCATGGGGCTGCTGTCGGAAAGTGTTTGGAAACTCCCGAGAGTCCAAAATGCCTCAGGCAGCTTGGTTAACTAGAGCTGGTTACAGGCAACATATAACTCCCACGTTATAGCAGCCCCACTGGCTGCTAATCTGTTTCTGAGCACAATTCAAAGTGTTGGATTTAACCTATCAAACCCTAAATAGCTTGGGTCCAAGCTGTCTAAAAGATCGTATCTCCCTCTATGAGCCTGCCCAGGCATTAAGATCATCAGCGGAGGCCATTCTCCTAGTCCCACCACCCACACAGGTGCAGTTGGTGGGGGACACGGGAGAGGGCCTTCTCTGTTGCTTCTCCCAGATTCTGGATCTCCCTCCTACAGGAAGCTAAGCTGACCTGATTTTTGCTGTCCCTCCACAAGCAGGCAAAGACTTTTCTCTTCAAGCAGGCATTTATTTTATCGCTAGTGGTCTGAGAGGGGTTTTTAAATGAATGGTTGTGCTCTGTTGTTTTAAATCTGCTTTAATATTGATTTTTATTTACCATTATAATATAATACTTGTTTAATTGGTTGTTGTAGGTTTTTCAGGCTGTTTGGCCGTGTTTGAGGTTTTTCTTCCTAACGTTTCGCCAGTCTCTGTGGCCGGCATCTTCAGAAGACAGGAGCTAGAACTCAGAGAACACAGAGAGAGTTCTGACTCCAGTCCTCTGAAGATGCCAGCCACAGAGACTGGCGAAACGTTAGGAAGAAAAACCT